ATATATATATTTTTATAATAAATTAAGCATACGCCCTGTGGTGACTTGAATTAATTTGATACGATTGTGAGCGTGTGCTGGTGTGTGTTAATTGTAATGCAATTAGGCTTTTACAGGTTAGACTACTATTACATGCCAGGCTAAGTGAATTAATCTATTAAGAGATTTGCAAATCTCTACAAATTGGCAAAACGATTTATGGCCCCTAACTATTAATGGCACATTGAAGAGACTAGTAAAAATCGCTATATTTTCAAATTTGCCGATTAGAGCCCACTTAAGTTAAGTGGAAAGCAATATTATATCATATTTAATGTATTTATCGCTAGATAATTCATAATCATTGGCCAGTCGCAGTGGAGAGACTAATATATATTCATAAATTTAGTTATTTAAATTGAGCTGAGCTAAGTGGAGCACATACTTAATTTATTTATCGATCTCTTTTTATGTTATAGAAGTGTAATTTGGGCATCGTTTACACATAACATACACAACATTTCAAGACACACTCACTCATATACACTCACACTCAAATATGCAACACAATCAATAACGACCTTGTCAAATCAAAGGAGCCGAGCAACTGCAATGACTGCGCTTGTTTAAAGCTGAGGTGAGGCAGTGGGGCAAGTGGCGGCGTGTGCTGTGGCATGTTGTGGTTTGCATATGCGTAATTTTGCGTGCGTCTGGTTCAGTTGTGGCCACCCCACCTTGCATCAACTTATTAGCCGCAGCACTTGCTGCTACAACTAAACAATTCTCTCGCGCTCTCCCTCTGGCTTTTGCCCGTTTGTTTATCTCTGTCGCACGCGGCTTATCGCATACGCTTAAACAAATAGCGGGCCAGCCATAAATAAACTTCCGTTGCCATTGTTTTTGTTGTTGTTTATTGTTAGCCCCATTGTTGTTGCCAGTTTGTTTGATTTTCGTGCGGCAGCCGCGAAGGCGAAGTACGAAATACGAAAAACGCGCGCAAAATGCAAAAATCATAGCGGAGCAGCCGTTAAATTTCAACGGAAGCTGTTAAGGTTTCGACCCATTAAGGGGCTAAGACTTGAACTATTACTTAGCCATAACAAAGGAGCATGGGATTCTAGCTAAAGATGCATATTCCCTATAGAGGAAATTCCTTTCTTCTCCAGAAACTACGAGAAAGGCTTCAGAAAGTGGCATAACAATTCTAATAGTTTCGGTATATATAAAATGTCTTATAAACAGTTTATCTGAGGCTTAAAACTCATTTATCATAATTCACATTCTCTCCTGCGCTGACCTTAATATTTTTGCTGGACTTAGCTGGAACGTGAGACTAGGCAACATAATTGCAACTGCAATGGCCAGCAGGAGTCAGACTGGTCCGCTAGCTTGTCTGCCCTTGCCTGTTGCTGGCTCGGTTCCTAAAACAGAGCCAAGTGCCTGATGCGAGGCATTCATAAAATACACCTGTTTGCAGCAATTTAATACTTTTTATGGCATGGAAATAACGCAACGGCTGCTGCGGCTCTGGCAACTGCAATGCCACGCAGGTAATTCGGAAGCAGCCTCAAATGAAGCCGCAAGCAGCGACAGCAACAACAAAAGGCCGAAGCCGCGGCCTAAAACATGTAGCCAAGTGCCAAGCATCGTTATTAGACTGGCCACAGCTCTTGCTGCGCATGTGTGTGTGCCTCTGAGTGTGCGTGTGCCTGTGTGACTGTATCTTTGTATCTGTGGGATGTGCGCACGTCTGCCGAGCGGCTACGCTGATCGCTTTTTACTCTGAGCGCGCTAAACCCGTGCCGTTTTCAGCTTTGTACTTTGCCGCCCCGATGGCCCGATGGCCAATGCCGCTTTGCGGCATGCTGCAAAGCAGATCTCGCAGCAAGGCAACCAGCCAGCCAGCCAGCCAGCCAACCAGTTCGGACCAAGCGCACGAACGTACGAGCGTACCCAAAGGCAGTCGTCGCACTCATTGATCTTAACTTTGAAAACAGTAGCCAACTACTCTATACGCTATATGGAGTGGAGGCTATACGAACTGGGACTCTTCAAGCTATGGAGTTGTGGATGTGAATGTGGATGTTGATGTGGTTGTGGCTTCAAGCGAAGTGGAGCGCACGAAAGCGGCCTGCACTTTGTTGTTGTTGTTGTTGCTGTTGTTGTTGTTGCTGATGAGGGTTTTTGGTTAGCTATACTTAAATAAAAAAGTCTCTGCGCTGCGTTCTGTCGGCCTTTTGGCTTTTGTTTTGTTTGCTTTTTATTTATTTTCATACATATATATATATATGTTTTTTGGTAACTTTTTGTTGCTTTTGTTGTTGGCTTTTTGCGCACGCAGGCAAATTTAAGCTCATTTTTTATGCCCTTGCAAAGGATTTTCAAATTGATTTCGATTTTTGCGATATGCTAATGTCGTAAATAAAGCTGTAGATGTTGTTGTTGCTGCTGTTGCTGTTGTTATTGCTGTAGTTTTTCGGTCAACTCGATTGGGCGGCTTAAGTCGGAAGCTATTAATTTTAATTGACGTGCTACTGTTTTTCGTGTTGTTTTTGGCCTGTTTTTTACCCCAGCTCCAGCGGCAACTTTTGATATTCGCGGCCCTCTTAAGTTGCTGCTGCTACTGCTGCTGTTGTTGTTGTTGTAGCTGCGGCTACTGTATGGCTTAGCCAATAAATTCAGTGGTTAAACTCACCTGCTTATGTGTGTGATTGTTGTTGTATTTAATCCATTTATTTGTGGCGGCTGGCATATTTTGTAGCTGAACAGCTGCCATGTCTTATATATACATATATATATATATATATATATATATATATATATATTGATAATGATAAATGATTATGATTATAGCCTTTAATGGGTTGCAGCAACGCTCGGCTGCCCTTCTCTCCCTTCAGTTATCGAGTTGTTCAGCACTGTCTGCTATCAATGCACAATTTTGAAGCACTGCATGTTTATTGCTGCACATTCTGCAAATATTTAACAATATTTTGCCATGCGCACTTGGCAAACATTTTCATTATAACTGCTTGATGTGATTATTTAATAATTATTTTGGAACACTTTGCACGCCCGTTGCACGACTGCGTGAGAGTTGCGAGAGTTGAGACTGAGACTGAGACTGAGACTGGGAAGACACTTGTTGGTACGTCCGCACACGTCGAATGCTCGAAACGGAATGAAATTTTTACCTTGCCTTGTTGTATCACTTGGGCAGCGTTGTCGCTGGCGTTGACGCTGACGCCGACGTCGACGATGTTAGTGTCAGCGTCAGCGTCGCTGCCAGCTGCGGCTCACGTGCGCTCATGCGCTCTCTTGCGCTTTATCTGTTCAGCTCGCTCCCTCGCTCACTCTCACGCTCGGTGCGCTCGGCGTGGTCTTCGTTTTTGTTTAGAATACGCAAAATAATAACAAAACTAATAATAAACTGCAAGGCAATGCAATTTGAAAGAATTATGCGCTCGCTCTCTCCGGCTCGCTCTCAGCCCGCGCTGCGTCGGCTTCGACGTCGATGTTGGCTCCTTTTTATTTTATTTTTTTTTTTTAATAATCGTCTTACGCTTTTATCAGCGCCTTTGATCTGCTTAATCGAAAGCCGAAATGGCTTCTGGTTTTCGTTTCGGTTTCATTTTTTCGGATTTCGGATTTCAGTTTTCGTTTCTTTTTTGTTGTTGTTTAATTCGCCATCTTTTGCGCTGGGCGAGTTCGTTGCCTAAGTCTTTTGTTTTATTGCTGCTGTTTTTGTCGTACTGTTTAATGGCATATTTAATGCTAATTTAGTGTAATTGCAAATTTTGAATGCAGCTACGTTTTATGCTGCGCTCAGAAGCACCCGGAACGTCAGCTCCAATAATTTGCCCATAATCGTATATATGCACATTTATACATATGTATGCATATATGTGTATATAAATATATATATATATATGTATGTATGTATATATATTTTTATGTTCTTAATGCGCCGCATTTTTGTGTTTTATGATCGCGCGGCATTTCTTGGAAAGAGCCCAAGTCGCCGTGGCCCTGGGATATATATTTTGGAATATGTGGGACGGCGGCTTAAGCACATAAAATCTCAATAAAGTAGTCAGTCGCGTCTTTATCTAATTGTAAATCTACAAAAAAATACGTTTAATTCCCATACGAAATTGCTGCCGAAATGCGAGAGAAATCATCTCGCATATATACGCATATATATATATCTTTGTTCATCTCTGGTCAACAGGGACTCCACATGGCCCTTTGCCACGCATTTCAATTTCCATTTCTATACGAAATTCAATTAATGACCGATCATTAAATACAAAAATATCTGTGGCTTTGATATGCCGTTGCCGAAATCGAAATATTTCAATCTTTTACGATCTTTCAACGCCGCATACTTGTTTTTAACTGCCTCGATGAGCACATTTGGTAGCCATAAAATTGTATTTTGCAAATGTTTTTAATTTTTCTGCTTCTTTTAACTATCGCAGACTAAATTAATTTTATTTTCCAACGCCGATCGCTCGTTTAATAGAGAAATTTCTAGGCCTATGGACCAAAAAATAAACACATAAAACAACAACTTGTCGGCAACTTGAAAGTGAGAATTGGAAAGGCGCTGCAATAATTTTGCATTAAGTACGAGACCGCGTACGCAATTATTATGCGGCGACATCTCTGGAGATTATTGGATGCTCGCATTGCTCATACGCACGGTGTGGCACTTGCTGTGGCTGCTGCTGCTGCTGCTGCTGCTGTTGCTGTTGCTGCTGCAGCATCGGGGGCAATTAAAACGCCGCCGAACAGCACGCGATGAATGCCCATAAACATTTAACGCGCAATCAGCAGGGAGCACGGCACTGGCACTGAGCAGAGCAAGAACGAGATCGAGGCTGAGCGGGCCAGAGGGGGAGGAGGGGGCGGCATGACCATGGGCATGGGCTGTAACTCTTTTGCAACAATTACAAGAGTCGCACACGACTTGCACACAATTTGAAAGCCGAGCATAATGATGTCTTCGGCTCGAGAGGATGATCATGATGAAGACGAGTGCTACTTTTGCTCAACAGCAGCAGCAGCAGCAACAGCAGCAGCAGCAACAGGAGAAACAGATGATCGTTGCCGTTGCGTTGCGCTGCGTTACGTTGCGATGCGTTGGCCCCTCACTGATGCGGGACATGGACATTCATTTCGCTTAAGCGCACTAACCGGTCGGTGTCTTTGATCCTGGCATTCTATTGTTCCGTTTCAAAGGCCACTATTATGTAAACAATCGGCAGCTTTGATCTTGGCCGCATCAAAGTGTTGCCGCCACCTTTCATCTTTTGCCGCACTGCCCAGCGACGCCAGCAGCAGCAGCAGCAGAAGCAGCAGCTGATGACGATGATGGTGATCATGCTGATGCTCATGATGTTGTTGAAGAAGCAGCCACTGCGTAGTTAAAGCTGCTGCTGCTGCTGCTGCTGCTGCCACTGAGCCATATAATTTCGCATGCTAGGCCAGAACACCTGGAGCCGCGCAGTTGATGCCGCTGCTGCTGCTGCTGCTGCTACCATCATAACTTTCGGCATAATCTTTAAAGTCACAGTTGCCGCAGTCGCAGCGCTTGACATCAATCGTGCAACACGAAGGAATCTCTCTCTCTCTCTCTTTCTCTTTTTCGCTCTCTTTCTATTTCGTCTTCTATCTTGTGCTCTAACCTTTCAACAGATGCGCACAGGTCGCGCTCGATAAGCAATTAAAATTTCAGCCAAGACGCACAACTTTATTAACGGATCACACAGCTCAGCTTGGACTGAGTTACGGTAACTGCCTTTGATCCTTGGCTGCTGCGCCTGTTGCAGCTGTCGATTTGCAAACTGCAACATTGTGTGGGAAAAGCAACAGGTGCTACAGCCAGAGACATGCCTACAGCAGCCAGTCAGCCTGCGCTTCATTTTGCGCTCTCACTTAAGCAGATTAACTCATAATTGCAACTCTTTCGCATAAGTTTCAAGTTCTGTCATATAAAATTAAGAATAAAAGACTTTATTTATTGCAGAGAAGTAGAAAGAAACTGTTGCTAAACAAGCTTAATAATAACTGGTGCAAACTTTGTAGCCAAATTTGATTAAATCTAGTCAGAATTAAAATTTTGATTGCTTGAATGCGATATAATGGAATCTTTGAAGGTTCGAGTGGAGTCCAAAATGCTTATTTTTAAAAAAATTACGGTTATTATTAACTCAGAACATTTTCAGTTTTATTTATTTAAAAGTTGAGCTACATTTTGCTGTTAATTCAGAATATTTTATGCTAACAGAAGATAGAAATCAGCATAAATCGTAAAGGATCTTCAATGGTTTTTGAACATCGTTCAGTGTTTGACGGAATTTAAGGTTAAGCATTTTGGACTTGGATTGATTTTTGTATAACACTTTCATTTATTTTCAAATTTAGTCAAAATTTTGAGTTTTATTTTGGAATACCAAACATTAGTAGAGAATTGTTCGAGCTCTAAAAACCATGCAGCTCGAAGGTCCCATGTTAATCGCTTGACTTATAGTGATTCTAGACTCCACAGGAATTCTCCTCATACTTGCTTATTTAATGCGAAACTAATTGATATTTAAGATATGATATTTGGAATTATTATTTATTTTTTAGGAATTATTTTTGCAAAGGGCTCAACTCTATTACATACCTTGTAAATATAAAAGAAAGTTGATGTTTTACCTAATGCAATGTTAGTCACATTGTGACCATTTGTGGTAAAAGCTTTTATATCTAGAGTCCCAATCGTATATAATCCTAATCGTATATAATCCACACAAGTGTTAAAAAAATCTCACTGCAAACTGCATTTGCCAAAAATTGAGTTACATTTCCAGACCTAGTTGAGTTTATTTAAAACTCTAGCCGAAATTCTCATAGAGATTTTCGAGCTTGAATGACATATTAATCCGCAGCAAATTAACGAACTTCTACATGGGGAGTAACGGCAATATTGCGGAGTCTGTGGTGTTGGCAGGTACTGAGCAATGGCTGGGCACTTTGGGCGTCTTGGGGAGTTGAGCTAAGTTGATTTGGCTCTCCGTGACAGTCTCTGTTCGTTTGTATCTCTTGTGTATGCTCTCCACGCTCCACGGTCCACGCTTGCTGCGGCTCACTTGGCGGCAAATTGCTGTTGCATGCCCGAAGACGACGACGACGACGACGACGGCGGCGTCGCTGGCGTCGGCAAAACAACAAAGCGGAATCTCTGCATTGGGCACACGCCATTCCCAACATCAAAGCGTGCCGACCGAGGCACAGATTTCTGAGGCTGCCGCCACCGTTGGGGCAGCAGCACTAACAACAACAACAGCAACAACCACTGTTGCTGCTGCTCATTTGTGTTTTGAGGCGCATTGTGCGACGCGCGTGTTAAGTGGACTGTGAATATGAAAGGAAAGTTCGAAAAAAAAAAAACAACTTTTGCCGCCAAATAAATGCAGAGGAGCAGACAAGGCAGCTCCTGCAACCTTCTACTTACTGTCCAGTTTTCATATGTGTGTGTGTGTGTGTGTCTGTGTGTGCCTCCTCTCGTCTCTGCGTCTCTGGGTTCTTAATCAAGAAACGCATCGGCGGCGTATCACAGTAGCACTTTAAACGTAAATTGCTTTTAACATGGTTATTACAATCTTAACGTTTGTCTGGCCACGAAGCACTTCAGGCAGCCGCAACCTGTTGTCGATGCTTGTTGCTTGTTATTGTTGTTGTTGCTGCTGCTGTATGCAGTTGCCCCGACAGCAATAGAAGTCAATGCTGGCCAGATCTGTGGGTTTCGTTTGTGCCCGTTAGTTCGGTTGCTTGGCTGGCCACTCGCCTGCCGCTTCGATCATCATCGGTCTATGTCTTGGTTGGGCTGTCTGGGGTCTGGGGTCTGGGGTCTGGGGTCTGGGTCTGCGTTTCATTTGGTAGATTGTTGTAATTATGATTGCGCGATTATGATTGGATTAGTTGTTGTCGGTAGCTTTTTGCTTTAAGTTCGCCTTAATCGAAATTGTTTTGTGGCGGAAATGAGGCAAATGCCAGTCCAGCTGCTAATTAGTTAACGCTCCGGCCAGTCGAACAGAAGCAGATCAAAAGGGCAGGCCGCAGGATTAAGTTAGCGAGCCTTTTGTTGGCAACAGTTGCTGCCTGCTGCCTGTTGCCTGTTGCCAGTTGCCGCTGTTGCCTGTGTGGCGATAATCTTGCATTTAAATATTTCGCAGGAAAACACGCAAATCCGCTGACTTGTCACACCTTGTGGCCAGGTAAGTTCCCACAGCCATTGCAACTGAAACTGAAACTGCGGCCTTGCTGAATGGTTGTGCGAGTCTGTGTGTGTGCGTGTGTGTGTCAGGTGATCAAAGTGCCTGCCGCTGATTAAAAAGGGGGAATTTGTCGCCCTTTTGTTGCCCTGTTAACATCAACTGTACAAATTGGGTATGTAAAGCTGAGAGGCAGGCAGAGGAAACCATTTCTCGGATCTGAGATGTCATTTGTGATTGAGCAGAATTATATATATTATATATAGAGAGAGATTAGAATTATATGCAATAATTCATTTTATTCTCCAGAGACCACTCCTCCTTCTCTCTTCCGTTTCCAGGGTATCTGCGTGTGTGGCATTGCCTGGCAGAGCACTTTAGCTTCGCAGCGCAAGTATTTAATTTCAGGTAAATTTGTAAGATAAATAATTGTCGCTTACCTGACGCGCCGCGCTTCAAAGAACTTCATTGTGTTTTGCATATGCAGCGCATCAAGCATTGTGTGTGTGAGAGCTCGAGAACTTTGGCCAAAAGGACCTTCAAAAGGACCGACTTTGTCAATGTGTGCGTGTAGATTATGGACAACTGCAACGGCGACAACGAGCGGCATTGTTGCCATCACTGGGCCTTTTGTAATGCCTCATGCTGGGAGCGGATCACAACAGCGGGACATGGACGATCAATAACGCTCAGCCGCACACTTTTGAAGTCGACTGTGATCGTCGCCTGGGCTTGTGCTGCATCAAATTTAGGTGGAACTGGTAACTGTATGTGTGCGACTGTGTGTGTGCCATGCTGTCAAAACACTCAGAATGCGCCACACACGGCGTACATCAGAGTTCTTATATATATATATATATATATATATTTCTTATACTATATTTCGGAGCAGATTGAAACTTCACTCGTCTCATGATGACGAATCGGAAATGGTCCCCGACGCGGCACCAGCATTGATAATCAATAAGCCGAGAAATGTAAGACCTCTTACACGAGCCGAAGACAGAGACGACGATGCGGACGCAGACACAGACGCAGACGATGCTGGAGACGGGTCTCCCACTGAGCGCTCATCAAATTGTGCCAAGATTTACGAGCCTCTTGATTGAGTTTTCTTATGCTTTGAATACGGCAAACATCAGACAGGACCACCGTACGAAACTTGGCAGCACAGCGGGCCAGAGCTGCCAAAGATGCGGCATGGTAGATGTGAGATTTCGGTTAACATTGTCTCAACGCTGTGTGGCAGCAGCAACAGCAACAGTCACAGCCATGACCATGGCCATGGCCACGTCCTCTCTTCCTTATGGAATGACAAATTGTCTTGATATCGCAACATGTTGATTGAGTGCTGCAACATTGCCGCTGCCTCTGCAACACTCTGACATGGCAAGCTGATGAATTTTCAGTCTGTGTTAGCGGCTGGCCAAGTTTGCTGACTTAAGTCTTGATACTATTGAAATTTTACTATGTAAGAAGAGCTTCTTATGGTTAGCTGTATTGATTTCCTTTTGTATAATTTTTGTAATGTACTTACTTACGTTGGAACCTTCCAAGCAACTACTTTGTAGCTATAGAAGGTTCCGCTTAATTCCCCACACATAGGTCAGCTTTAAGTTTACTGCCAATATTGATTTATCTAGCTCAAACTCTTAGAAATACACCTGAGTCTATAAGGTAACAGCTGTTGGCACTACACCACAATCATTAGACGACCTAGCTACTACATTGACTAAGCATTATATAAAGGCCTTAAACATATACTGAGCATTTTAAAGCTTCATTATGCGTTTCGCTTTGATGTTCCTTGTGATTTTCTGCTTAGCTTGCTGCCTCGCTCAGGTCCAGGCTCAGACAGATGACGGGAGTACAGCAGCAACGACAACAGCTACCACGACAACAGCTACCACGACAACAGCTACCACGACAACAAGTACAACGGCAGAATCAACCACATCCAACACAGTTGTACGGCTGCAGCGCCTCCTGAGGCGCATGAGGCGCCAAAGTCGCCAACGCCAACGGCGGCAGCAGCAGCAGAAACGCAGACGCCGGCGTCAACAACGTCAACGCCGTCAACGCCGTCAACAGCAGCAACGCAGGCGTCAGCAGCAGCAACGGCGTCGCAGACGCATGGGATAAGCCAAATGTGGGCGGCCAGAAGTCAAATGCGACATTGAGCGAATTCCAAATTTATTTGTAAACAAAAAAATAAAGAATAGTTAAAGTTAAACTTAGTTTTTTATTACTTTGTGTTAGGATTGTGCCAAACCTACAACAATCAAATAATATAAATAAATCAATGCCCTTTTAAAAGTAACTCTATGGCATTCATTTTGGAGATTTCGAATATAGAAATAGTCTTTGTTATGTTATACTCTTTATCATTTTATATATCGAGTTTCTAGCTCTAAATTATGGAAGTGCTTTGTCACTTACAGAGACCCATATATATGTATATATGTATATGTGTAGGAGGATCAATTGGGAGAAGACTACTTGGGAATATTTTTTTGGTTGTTAAATTTGGTCGTAGATTCGATATTAACTATATAATTCTATGACTTGAATTCGCATCATTTTATGCTCGTTTACGAAGTGGAAGAATATTTTGATCTTATGTGCATTAGGCGTTTTCAGATCGTGAGCGGCTATAATGCAGTTAGACTATCGACTGCAGACTTCCATAAGTAAAGATATATAATTATTTAATATAAGTTATATACAGTTATGCAGTCGATAGTCTAAGTAGACTTCCATAAGTAAAGATATGTAAATATTTAGTATAAGTTATATACACTTATTTACCGTTATACTTTAAGTATATATCAATCTGAAACCATATCAAACATCTTTTACAAACAATTTGAAATATCGACAATATAAAGGTTAGCACATTGTGAGCTTGAGAATTGGTATTTATGCTGAAACAGAAGTACGTTTGATCGGAAGTCAATTCAACTTTTACATCCGCTGTAAATAGTAAACAGCAACCACCTGCGTACACCTTGAAGAACAGCTGCTAGATCAGTTTACTCTGCCAACAATTATCAAATTTTGCTATATAAGTTGAATGGGTTAGCAAGCCATATCATTGGCTCTTCATAATGCGTTCGATTATTGTCCTACTTTTTGGATTACTTTGCTGCTTTTCGCTGGCTCAGTTGGTGTGCAGCCAATATGATTATTTTAGTCCTGATTACGACAATGACGGTTCTCTAGTAACCACAACAACAACAACATCCTCCGGCGGCTTAGCACCCAACCCAGCCATCACCCCTAATATCGTCGTCACCGTCGGACCCAGCAACACCACCAGATCGCCAAGTGAACGTCTCCACCGTTTACAGAAACTTAGACGACAGCGGCGCAGGCGGCAACAGCGGCGTCGACGCCTGCAGCGCGAACGGTTGCTGCACAAGCTGAACCTGGAGCTAAAATGGGGTTTATTGGTCATTTAACAAATTGTTTCAAAGTAAAAGGAAAGCTGTGAATATGTAAAGTTAGAGGTATAATACGAATAATTAATCAATAAACTATAGAAAAAGACATTTTAAGGAATATAACTGGTTCTACTTTTTGTGTGCTTCTGAAACGTTTTAAGGCAGAGCTACAATGTATTTGGTTGAGGTAGGTCTTCCCTTTGTTCGCTTGAACATCGTATACAGGCATAAGTATAGTCTTTCTGCAACCGATTATTGCCTCGGCTGGCATATGATGTAGGGGGCAAGCATTTAGCCAGGTTGCATTGTTGTTTATGGGATGACAAATTGCGCTGATATCGCAACATGTTGATTGAACGCACACGCGGTAACATTGTAAACAAGCTTAGGCCATGCAGAGGAGTAGAGAGAGGGGGCGGGTGGGCCATGCCCCTTAGGCCATACCCATTCCCCTGGCCCATTCCTGTGCTGTGCGCGTGCTCAGCCGCTTTGGGGCTTGAGGCTGAAGCTTGGCTCGGGATTCGAGAGCCGCAACGGGCGAGTTTTATTTTTTTATACAATGCAGCGCAGCGGCCGCATGAAAACCCAAAGAAATAAAGAAATAAATAAAACAGGCAACAGCATAAAAAGAATAAAAAACACAAAAACACAAAGAAGACTCGAGATGCCGACAAAGTAATAAACCAATTAGGACATCAAAGTGTTCAACCGACAGCGGCAGCAGCAGCAGCAGCGACAGAGACAGCGGCAGCAACAGCGACAGAGGCAGCGGCAGCGGCAGCGAAGGCAACAGATCCACATTCACAGAGATCACAGAGATTTGCGCTGATCCGACTTTAATTCTAAGCTGCAAAACGCAACCTACATATGTCGCCAGCTCTCCTTTTGGACAGACCTCCAGGCCGCTCATCCATATCCGAGCTCCCTTTACGCAGCTCTTACACGCAGCTTACCAATTTCAGCTTTTACTGTTAAGGGTATGCGGAAATGAGTGAGTGTTTCCAAGGATAAATGGGAACTGGAGCCCTTAAAATGAAGCTGATGATATTCTGACATGACATTAGGCATCGATTACCTGTCAAATAATATAATAATAAAAAATGAGATCGCTGAGCCACTATTAGGCTATTCCAGAGGCGAAACAGTTTCGTATATAATTATTTAACTGGCTAATGGATCCATGAATGAGACTAGATTTCGCTTGGCTCTGTTCCCCTTTCATATAAACTTTCCGTAATGCCAAAATAGTGGCCTCCTACTACATTATGCAGATGGGTTTCGTTATCATTTAAATCATTGTCGCATGTCTGAAGTAGCTGAAGACCCAATCGCCAAATGGGGCATTCATTAAGAATTTAAAACGCACATAATTAAGGCACAACAAATGGGGCTTAGGCTCTAAAAAAATAAATATATATATATATATAAATATATATATATATATATATATATATATATATACGTATACTGGATACTCAAAATAAAATCAAAGTAAACAACTGCGAAATGAAGGCTTAATTAAATCATAAAATGCTGAGCACCTCATTAAAATCGTTGGAATTGCTACTCGACTTGAGAGGCTGAATATCAAAATGCATATTTATTAATAATAAACTAAGATATGCATACATATACTTATATATATATATTTATAGATTGATAAACATTTTTGTTTATTAATTCAAATGGCGCTGATTTGATTGGATCATTGGATCAGTCGTCAATTTTGTAACTCCTGCTGCGGCTGCTGACGCAAAAGCCTAGTCGGAAGCTCGTCTCAAGCTTAAGCTCAAACTCAATCTGAGTCTCAGCTTGAGTGGGGCACGGCACGTGGTAAACGAGATGCACGCTTCAAAGGCGCCGGCCACGGCCCACCTAAAACTTTAAATTGAATACGAAAACAGCAACGGCAGCGGCAACGGCAACGCAAACGGCCTAAACTGGTTGCAAACGCACATAAACCATTTAAGCCGAAAAGAAATCGGTGCGCTGGCAACTCTAACGATACAAAGATCTGGCCAGCACCTCAACCAAAAGAGCCAAATACTACTCTTAATGATATTTTAAATATCACATATGATACCCTATAGCAAATATAATCCAGTTAGCTGCACTACTCTAAGCATCCACATGAGCTTAGTAAGAATTAATACTTCTATAGCTATGCATATATCTACAGATCAGGAGTATCTGTAAGATACTAGAACTGGATGCAGATATATGTCTTAAAGCATCTATATTTCTAGTTATGTCTATATCTATATCTATATCTATATCTATATCTATATCTATATCTATATCTATATCTATATCTATATCTATATCTATATCTATATCTACATCTATATCTATATCTATATCTATATCTATATCTATATCTATATCTATATCTATATCTATATCTATATCTATATCTATATCTATATCTATATCTATATCTATATCTATATCTATATCTATATCTATATCTATATCTATATCCATATCTATATCTATATCTATATCTATATCTATATCTATATCTATATCTATATCTATATCCATATCTATATCCATATCTATATCTATATCTATATCTATATCTATATCTATATCTATATCTATATCTATATCTATATCTATATCTATATCTATATCTATATCTATATCTATATCTATATCTATATCTATATCTATATCTATATCTATATCTATATCTATATCTATATCTAGGGTATCTCATAGTCTGGTATTCTCCGTTATTTTTTCTATCGGTCACCCACTGTTTTTTTAGTGGGGCTGCTGCAAGAGATCGATTTGAATTGGAATTTCAAAGAGGCCGCATTTCATTTCACAAAGTCAAAACAGTTAATTTATATCATGTCGCGACTACTGGTCTTACTGATTTTGCATTTTGTTCGGCTGCTGCCTGCTCGACTGTTCGACTGTTTCGAAATTGAAATATGAAAATGAAATCTAATTTGGCTGAGAAGAAAACCTGATTAGCAGCAATCACAGTCGTCTATGCAGGCGGACTTGGTTCGTTCAGCTTTGTTTATTTGATTTGTTTTTTTTTTTTTGATATGAATATCCTAAAATTAGTCAGATTATAAATGTACATACAGATGTGTTCGGTTATAAATTCTGCTTTTGACTTTACGTTTTCGAATCGGTAACGAATTAACTCAAAACATGCAAATCGATGTTGAATGACTGGAGCGAACAAATCAATAACTTTATATATCATATATACACATATGCGAATAGATATATTGCTACATATAGTTGCCATCCATTGTCTCTTTATTCGATGCGTAACTGAGTAGCTGAGCACAAGGACATGTTGCCAGCAGGTGCGCACAAAGGTGCCGCTGAGCTGAGCTCAGCTAATTTCGAATTACACACTTCATTCTCGTCTAGGATAAGTAAGAGCTGGGCCAAAGGAACAGAATCAACAGCGTCAACAGCGTAACCAAACTGCTTTTCAAGCCAACCGCAATTGACAGCGCGCCCCTCGCCGGTCGCTCTGATCCTGCAGATCAAAGCGGACCGCCCCTTCCCCCACGACAGCCGTAATGTGCGTGCAAGATGAAATTTTCGGCACCGTGGGTGTGGCTTATTTCGAAGCAATTAAACCATAGTGAAGCGTGTCTTTTCCGACAGAGAGCTATCGAGCGATCGAGCACTGTGCGGCACAGCACGGTTATCTACGAGGACATTTTTAACCATTGTACTCTTGCCTGTCTTTCATCTGTGCCGCCAACAGTGGGCGTAGCTAACAGTTCGTTTTGTGCTCGGAGTTGATTAGTTGCTGCGCAAAACAGATTTCAATCCCATTAAAATTACCAAGAAGAAAAAGAGTTTGACAAGGTTAAATTTCGACTGGATGAAGCACTAAGAGTAAAGGCAGGTAAGCGAGGCAGCAGTACTTCATAACGATAAATGTTATACATATTGAGCTATTTTCATGATCCACTCTTATTTTCAAATGATTTATTATCAATTATCTTCTTTCATGAATAATCTCTAAAAAACTAACTTAACAAAAAATGGGAGTCTTATAATTAAAATAAACTGAAATCTAACATAACAGCGCATACAAATTAATAACAGTTGACGAAATTTCCTTTTCGCACAGTTTTAATAAAAATAAATTGACTGTAATAATGGTTTGTGTATTGGTTGTCCAAGCAAGCAAGTCCTCATTTACACAATCCACATATATAACAGAAAGTGTCAGCCCAAGAGTATTCTATAGTTTAAATAAATATACTTAACGTTTCGTTAAGTGTGCTAAACGCACAAATCTGCTAAAATACGTTAAGTGGACTTCGTCAAGTTACGCTGTAAAGCTAGTAAAGTTTTAAGCCACACTGGCTATATAACAATAAGTCCTTTGCAAATATGGTCTTTCAAAAGTACCTCAATTAGGCCGAAAAGGGAATTAGCAGTGGGATATTTGTAAGTTAGTGAAATATAAGTACTCATCTAGCAAAATAATTTCCTGTTTTATAATTAGTTTAAGAAGAAAAAACGGTGGGGGGGGGGGGGGGGGGGGGGTTAAATGTTATCTTTAACAGTCCTTCAAATTAATTGAACTAAGCTGAACTGAAGAGGCATTTGGTGCAGATTGAAATCATTTGCTATTGCTGGAATACTTAGCGCTAAGTGCAGCTGATGTCTGCCGGCTGCTGTCTACCGTCTGCTGTCTGTCGTCTGCCTTCTGTTGTCAGCAAATACGTTGTAAGTACTTGGTTCTAAGCACATCATAATAGTTCACATGGCAGATGGGCAGGCTTTCAGGCTTTATTTGGAGGCGCACTGAGCGCGACTAAGCCATATCATTTATCATGCCGCTGGCATCGCAACGCATCGCATCGCATCTCATCGCATCTCACATCTTTATGGCGCACGACCATGCATTATGCTTCAGCGACAACAATAACCACTTGAGAGCCAAACAAATCCAAGTCAAATATACTTGGCCAACAGCAATCGAACGAGTGAACGCGTGAGTGAGTGTCCTGGAGACGGGACAT